ATTGATAAAATCCAAACAAAAGGATATTGGACGATGGAAGAATCAAAATGGTACTTGAGGTGGCTGAGTACGACGCTGCCACCTGGTTGAACGGTTTAGCTCAATTAACTAAATAGAGTTGACACGTATTTAAAAAGTTACATTCAAATTATTCAGTAACTTGGATGAATTATTAAAAGATGGGTATAAATCCAAATGGGTTTGAAAGTGATTTATTCCTGACCTTTATTTAGGAGGGTTGCAATTTGTTCGAACAATCAATTTGGAATTAGTTCATCAGTTTATTGAAATACATGTGTCTCACAATGTCTGACGAAAGAGATTTAAGAAGATTTTTTGTTTAAGAGTACTTTTGAAAAGTAATTTCAAAAATGGAAGGTCAAATTAGAAACCCTGGCCTGTAGATAAAACTTTATCATTATTATTTTAATTAAGAACTTCTTTCGTCGGTTTAGGATAATTTGAAACTCGATAAATATAAAAACATGAACTATGCCGGACTGTTCTTCAATCAGAAACGGCTGCATGGTTTTGATGAAATATGGCACTCGGATCTCTTATAACTCTGACTAACATTTGGAAGAATGTTAAATCCTTCCTACAGATTGTAAAAAAGTAAATAAATAAATAAATGTCAAAATTGCATGAAATAGTTAGAAAGAATAAAAAGATTTAGGATAAACACTGAAATAAAAGTATCCTACTAAAAGGAGACTATGGTGGAAAAATAACACGCTCTTTTGCCGAAAAAATATCTCATATCCAAAAGGTCACCGACTTATCAAATTTTCCTAGTTTTAAACGTACTGTTCGGTTATCGAATCTTAACCCAAACACTACTTCGATCACTACTGAGCTAGTTGATGTTTTGGTACACATATTTCATTCGAAATAGGCTCCAGTTGAGAACGAAGTTGGTTTAACCTCCTTTATGACAAACTAGCCTCAGTGCGCTATATAGACTCAAAATTTTGATGACTAGCAGTGGCAAGCAACATTCTCCAGAACGGACCATAATTAATAGTTGTAAAGGATCATATCCCTGGCCACCAAATTATGGCCATGTTGAACTTCAGAGACGAGCTCAGGAAGCTTGTCATGATGGTAAAACGAACTCTCTAGCGTGATTTTATGTCGCTGAACATTTTTTTCAGTAGTATGAATAGGTTTTCTGCGCTGTTCTGACCAAGTAGGGGGCATGTTAGCCGGTGTTCCTCCTTTCACATAAATCCGAATTGTCCAGAAGGCATCTCTTAATAAATGTATACGAGATAGGTAGAAAAAGAAGTAAATTGAAAATCTTTTGGTTTTGAAAAATACTTATTTTTTAAATTGTGATCTCTTTGACTGAAACTTTAGATTAGTCCTTGTAGGAATCTCCATTAAGCTGCTTATGTATAATTTCTGCCGCTGTTTAAATTTGATACACAATAATCAAATTCTTATACATATGTTTTATTTTTGTTTTTGTTTACTTTCAAATGCTTCTGGTAAAAAATTTAGGTCCTTAATTTAAAGGTATGTTTGATTGGTGAAGAAAATTGTGATGCTGGAGCACTGCGAAATGCTATTCCAGTAGCAGTCGTCAAAGAGTCTTTTGTGTGTTTGGGGCCTGTATGTCAATTAGGCGCCTGAAGCACATTTTCTTTGCCCATAGAGGGTCACTAAAGCGTTGGTAAGGTCTGGAATCTATAATTTTGCCTCACAAATAGTGCATACATATGTAGTTTAGTCTCGGCTCGGTATCGGAATAAATATCTAACCGTATTTTTATATGAACATTTGATATTAACAGAATTGTTCTTGATATCGCTTTTGTTATCAGTGTTATCGGATTCGATTTTGTTTGTAACATCCTTACTACAATTGCCATCGCAATATGACTTTTTATCGTGATCGATATTTGGCGTTATCAGAATGAAACTTTTCGTTATCGAAATTGTTATTGTTATGTTGCATACTTTCGTTACTTTTGTTAAGCGCAAAAAATTAACTGCAGAATCTAACCCAACCCGTAGCAGAATTGTTTCTATTTATACTTATTTTTTTCATTCCCGCAGTAAGCATAGAACTCGCAGCCAACACGCTTACAACTAAAAGCACCTCCCTCGGCCGTCTTAGCTAGCCGCAATTGCGTCAAGCGTCACTTTAATACATCACAGGCTCTGCGTGAAAATATTCCCGTATTCAAGTTCAAATCCATGTTTGTAATATTAATACTCACTCTTTGCCACGTTTATGCCTGAGGGAATGAGGGTAAACAAATTTATTATCAACTCGCACGTAGCCCATTGTGCTGTGTGACTTCAACCTCAATGCGTTTGGAATTTTAAGTATCATTTTCTAAAGCTTTTCAATACAATTCCCATATCTTTATCCCTACTAAATCCGGCACATATACATATATGTACGTATGCGCATTAGCAATAAATAATCCCCATTATGCTACTGAACAGCCCAAAAGTGTCGGAATGGACAGACAATCGACTGATTATGCGTAGATATTTCAATTCCTTGGAATTTGTAAATGACCGCTCGAAAATGCGTCGTAGGTAATGAGGCATTGCCATAGATGATGAGCTACATAAGGCAGCTAAATGGCCTAGAACGTGCGTCAATTGCATTTAGATTTTAATTACGAAGCTTCGTCGTACTGTTATGCGTCGCACTAACGCGATTGCACACGAAATGCACGCAGATTGCTTCGTTATGTGGGTAAGCGCGTAATTAAGGCGCGGAGCTGGTTGTGGGTGGGGGTGTTGTTGGTTAGTGTTCAGTTTTTTTTTGTTTTAATTTTTAATTTTTATTTAGTTGGAGATATGTAGTAGTGGAATTTCTTAAAACGCAGCACGAGTTTTGTGCGCCTTGAATGCAACTGAGTCACGCACACAGAATTGTTGTCAGCCAACTATGCACAAATCAACGTTATTGGCGCCTTTTGTTTATTCTAATAGCATGATTTTATTTTGATTTCAGTAAGTGCGCTCGCTCTAAGCTACATATGTACAAACGTATGTACATAGTGCGCAGTGTGGCGCTGTTTCAGTGGTACTAAACGAAAGACTTAAGACACGAACTTGCATGGGTTGAATTTGCCAAGGCTACTAAGTGTGTGATTGCGAGCTTGTTTTTCTTTTACTATTTTGTTTAATTGAATTAAATTCATTGCACTCTAACTATAAGGGGATTCACTAGATCTCGTAAGCGGTAATAACGGTTAAATTCATTTTAGGTGGCCCGCAGGATATAATAATAATATGGTTCATACTACAAACAAAACATAAAATTGTACTTTCTAAAAACATACATTTTTTGTAAAACATAAAATTGTACTTCAATAAATTTTTAACCTTTTAATAAGATAAATAAAGTGAAAGTTTGAAGTAGCTAGGACTTACCGTGGATGTTTGACAATTTTTTACAAGCATTTTCTTCTATCCAAATAAATTTCGAAAATACTTTATATGGAAAAATGTGAAACACTAAAACAAAATAAAGATTCTCAAAAATCAACGCGATTTTCCAGTAGCTTTAAACTATCATTTTTTAGGGGTTTATGAAAGTGCATACTCAAAAAAAGAAGAAAAATCAGATTAAAAAGTTAAACATTTGCAAGAAAAAAGGAAATACATAAACTGTTTCATCGAAACCAACCTATTTTATTTTAAATAAATAATTTGCTGTTAAGTGGAAAAATATTTAGATTTGCAATCACTTAAATTGAATTTAAAATTTTAAACAGCTACCACCCCCTTCATAACTACATACTCTTGAGAGAAAGCTTTCTGAAACTTTTTTTTTGTCTGACCCCTATATTTTAATATGAATTTTAATTTAAGTACCAATTTTTTAATAGAAATAAAGCTTTTTAAACATATATCGTATCACACCAAAATCAAAAAATTACATTTAATTGAATTCGACTTTTAAACATGTGGCAATCCTCTTCAAAAATATTTCGAAATAAAGCTTTTTTTAAACTTGTTTCGTTTGTCATCGACATTGTATTATTTAATCCAAATTATTGATTGAATAAGATTTGACTTTAAAACAGGTCCTTTCCAAAATATTTTCGAAAAAAGTTTTCTTAAATATGTTTCATTTGACATCGATTGAATTCGAATTTGGCGTTTAATCAGGAGGCCCTCTTCAAAGTATTTTCAAAAAAAGCTTTCTTATGCCTATTTCGTTAACCATAACCATAGTTTTATCCACTAAATATATTTATTAAATTGATATTTACTTTTTTAGAAAGTGGCAGCCCTTTTGTAAAATGTTTTCGAAATAAGGTTATTTTTTAAATCTCATTCCTTGGATATTTTATAAAATTCCCTTGAAGTAATAATTGAACCTGAATTTAAATTTTTACAAAATGTGGCAACCCTCTTCAAAGGATATCTCATATGTTAATCCAAGTCAAAGAGTATCAGTTTTGTTAATTATTCTCTGCACTGAGTCATCACATATACATACATACATAAGCAGTTACTAGCTTACCAGACTTTGAAAAGGCCAGCATTAACAGAAAATTTGTTAGCGGACATGTTGGGAGTTCATATCGCTACCTAAAGATGAAAAGGTGGCAAGTCCACTTTTTTCAAAATTTAGTTTTTGATGCAGAAGGGCAGATAATGCGCAACTACATACATTTTTTGTCTCTCCTGAACAATTTAAAACATAAACTTGACACCTTTTAACGTTTAGGTAACACATTCATACATAAATTTTTACATAAGGTTGGTCCAAATTTGTTTTCCAAAGTTGCTAAAAAATCGTCGGTGGCAGCGAGATAATTCCAACATTTTTGGACCCCCCCCTAATGCACTATATGGCTGCAAAATTTTATTGTCTTTGCAGAAATCCAACTGTCGCCATACAACGCCCGCGCTACCATCAGCAACAAAACCAGTAGCAACTGCGGCAATTGTGGGGCGAGCACGTCCCACCAACAATGTCAATAACCACTGTACGAGGGTCGTATGAAAACTACCCGATTTTGAATAGAGATGGCGCTGCTACAACTAAAAAAAATATTTTGATAAAATATACAACTCTTCAAATAACACGTGTCAAAATTTCTCAGCGATATGACATTTACAACAAATTTTATACGTGTTACAATGGAGTTACTTTTGTGCTTTTTGTCAACATGGAAAAAATTGAATATCGAGCAGTGATAAAATATTTGTTTTTGAAAAAGAAAACAAACGACGAAATTAAATCGGAATTTAACGAAGTTTATGGAGACTCTGGACCGTCATTAACAACTATAAAATATTGGGTAGCTGAATTTAAACGCGGCCGTACGAGCATTTTTGATGAGGAACGTTCAGGTCGTCCAAATGAGGTCACTACACCAGAAATGATTGAAAAAATCCGTGATATGGTAATGAGTGATCGAAGATTGAAAGTGCGTGAGATTGGTGAGAGTGTGGGCATTTCAATTGAACGGGTTAATAACATTTTGCAAAATCATTTGGATATGAGAAAGCTTTCCGCAAGATGGGTGCCGCGATTACTCACAACACACCATAAACAAACACGTGTTTCCATTTCAAATGATT